ACTGGTTTCTCATGTGAAATCCTCTGGGACTAAGTCATGGCCAAGACCTAAAGGTTATGACATGGTCAAGAAGCATGACAAATTCTCAGGCACAAGAAGTGGAATGAGATGTAATAATGAGATAATAAATAATAGACCTCAGTAAATCCAAGAAAAAAATGACAGCTAAAACAATTTATAAAGAGGATGAAGAATCTGATCCTCAGATCCAACCTCAGTCTAAGTCAAGAAGGATCCAAACTTTAAAATTACAAACATTTCCAAAACAACAGCTCTAAGAGCACTAACCATATGTTTAATGCAAGGCCAGGCTTTCACCTTATTTTAATTAATGTGCCTAAAACTAAGAAATTAAGGAAATTCCAATTGATGGATATTAAAAAGAGACCTTAAGTCGCCCTCATGTAATAAGACTCAAATCTTTTCCTATGGGGTTTTCAGCAGCTACCTACATGTAGCTGACCTCAGAGATATATCCCTTAGGCCCTGTGTATATGGAAGATTCTGGGGATGCAGAATACATATATAAGGGCATGTCTACACTAGCAATGTAAGTAGACCTATGTTAGGTCAACTTACAACCACCACAATAACTGCTGCGGTGGTTCGTGTCCACGCTGCCCTCCTTCTGCCGGGGGTGCGCAGCCTCACCAGGAACGCTTATTCCAACTTCAGAGGGGCAGTGTGGGGGACTGAGAGCCTGGGCATGCAGCTCCCCACTGGAAGCCCAGCTGTCCCCTGGGCTCCCTGCTCCCAGAAGCTGGGCTCCTGGCTGCAAGCTCTGAGCCCAGAGTCTGGCCAGCTCCCAGGGGTCTCAGCTGGCCGCTGGGCTCCCTGTGGGGAGCCAGCAGCCTTCGGGCAGCTGCCAGAAAGCTCCCCATTCCCAGCCAGGCTGTGCCTTTGATTCCCGGCTCCCTGTGGGGAGCCCAAGGTCTGGCGCGAGGCTCCCGGGAGCCGCCTGGACTCCAGGCATGGAACTCCCTGCTGGGAGCCCAGCTGCGGTGGGGAGTGGGGAGCTGAGAACCTGGGGGGAGCAGCCAGACTCCCAGAGAAGAGCTGAGAGCTGGGGCAGGCAGCCAGCCCTCCAGCAGTGGGCAGTGGGGAGCCAGGAGCCCCCAGGAAGCACCGGGCTCCGAGTGGGGAGGACATAACCTGGCTTGGAGCAGGGAGCCGGGAGGGGTGGGGGGACTGGGCTGGAGCCCCCCACCCACCCTGGTGACAGCCCAGCTTTCTTGTCAATTGGACTTGTGACATTGACAAAAATGACAGCCAGCAGCCGACGTAATTAACAGTGTCTACACGAACAGTGCGTCACCCTAACCACACCAACATAAAGCCCTACGCCGCTTGTCCACACCAACATAAAGCCCTACGCCGCTTGTCCACACCAACATAAAGCCCTACGCCTCTTGTCCACACCAACATAAAGCCCTATGCCTCTTGTCCGCACCAATATAAAGCCCTATGCCTCTTGTCCGCACCAACATAAAGCCCTATGCCTCTTGTCCGCACCAATATAAAGCCCTATGCCTCTTGTCCGCACCAACATAAAGCCCTACGCCTCTTGTCCACACCAACATAAAGCCCTATGCCTCTTGTCCGCACCAACATAAAGCCCTATGCCTCTTGTCCGCACCAATATAAAGCCCTATGCCTCTTGTCCGCACCAACATAAAGCCCTATGCCTCTTGTCCACACCAATATAAAGCCCTATGCCTCTTGTCCGCACCAACATAAAGCCCTATGCCACTTACATAAGCGGGAGCAAGGCTGAGGTGCGGATACTAAGCCCACGTCAGCAACACCACTTACATTGGCAAAACTTATGTTGCTCAAGGGTGTGGGGGGGCGAAAAAAAAACCCCTCAGCAATGTAAGTTTTACCAGCATAAGCGCTCTTGTGCACTGCTGGTGGGAGAGCGTCTCCTGCCAACACAGCTACCATCGGTCATCGGGGTGGTTTTATTATGTCGACGGACGAGCTCTCTCCCATCAGCACAGAGCGGCTGTGTGAGTGATTTTACAGCAGCACGGCTGCATCGATACAGTCGTGCTGCTGGAAGCCTGCTCGTGTAGACGCGGCCTAAGTGTGTGCGTGTCCGGATGATACAAAGCACATCAGGGAGAAGGTGTTATACATGGTTATTAAGCAAGATTACCAACAATCATTTTGCCTACTGGACTCTAACAATCAGTAATAAATGAACTAACTATTAAAACCAAGTTGTACCCATGTCGGTCTCAGGATATTAGAGTGACAAAGTGGGTGAGAAGAAAAGGAGGACTTGTGGCACCTTAGAGACTAACCAATTTATTTGAGCATGAGCTTTCATGAGCTACAGCTCACTTGTAAAAGAGATGACTTCACCCATCTTGTCTCTGTATTTATTAAAACACCTGTTAATCATTTATGAACAATTTATAAATTCGCCATTGATATAAAGTGTGACTAATCTGGTGAATTAAACAAGGCACGTCAGTAAACTGAGTGAAGAAAAGAGTGTGCTGGGAGTCTGTTTAGGACAGGAAAACCTGTTGAAAAAGCAGTTTACTCAGATTTTAAAAACTGATAACTATCCTAGCAGCATGTACAACTGGTCTTACCACAGAATCATAGAATATCAGGGTTGGAAGGGACCTCAGGAGGTCATCTAGTCCAACCCCCTGCTCAAAGCAGGACCAATCCCCAACTAAATCATCCCAGCAGGGCTTTGTCAAGCCTGACCCTAAAAATATCTAAGGAAGTATATCTAAATAGATATCTAAATATCTACCACCTCCCTAGGTAACACATTCCAGTGTTTCAACACCCTCCTAGTGAAAAAGTTTTTCCTAATATCCAACCTAAACCTCTCCCACTGAGACCATTACTCCTTGTTCTGTCATCAGCTACCACTGAGTACAGTCTAGATCCATCCTCTTTGGAACCTCCTTTCAGGTAGTTGAAAGCAGCTATCAAATCCCCCCTCATTCTTCTCCTCCGCAGACTAAACAATCCCAGTTCCCACAGCCTCTCCTCATAAGCCATGTGTTCCAGTCCCCTAATCATTTTTGTTACCCTCCGCTGGACGTTTTCCAATTTTTCCACATCCTTCTTGTAGTGTGGGGCCCAAAACTGGACACAGTACTCCAGATGAGGCCTCACCAAGGTCAAATAGAGGGGAACGATCACGTCCCTCGATCTGCTGGCAATGCCCCTACGTATACATCCCAAAATGCCATTGGCCTTCTTGGCAACAAGGGCACACTGTTGACTCATATCCAGCTTCTCGTCCACTGTAACCCCTAGGTCCTTTTCTGCAGAACTGCTGCCGAGCCATTCGGTCTCTGCACTTGTCCTTGTTGAACCTCATCCGATTTCTTTTGGCCCCATCCTCTAATTTGTCTTCTAAAACAGCAAACTATCTTACCCTACATCAAAAAGCAATAGGGTGCTTTTAATGCTGATTAAATCTGTTAATGAGAGTCACACTTCTTCAAGTCTTATAGAGGCCGATCATCTTATTTTTTAAAGGGTTCAGTAAAAGAAAAAAAAACCTGTCACTAATTTGGAACCCTGCTGTCCTTTTACAAACCATCTTTGAGACAATGCCTCTTACATTATAGGATCCTCCAAATGTTCCCTGCAAGGACCATTTCCTTTGTAATAGGAAAAGAAAAAGACTTTGATCCTGCTTTCCTTATCCTGCAGTCTGTGTAAATGTATGTGCATTAGGCACTCAAAACTTTCCACTGTGCTATCGGCAGGTACAGCCATACTGAGTATATACACAAATGCAGGGGGAAAGTTTACTAGACATCTACTGGAAAATGCTCTATCCAGTAATGAGAGGGACTATATTTCACTTCTGTGACTAAATTTCTCTTTGTAGCTGGGATGTGTGCAGGTCAGATCCGGATTTGCTTTTCTGTTAGCCCAATGAATTGATTTTACTGCAAGCTCCGAGTGTGAGGAAACGGTCATTTCCATTCCCCTTCATTCCCTTTGTTCCACAGTTCTGGCGAAGGGGTTCGGAGACCCGATTGCTGTGTCACGCAATGTAACATATACCACTGCTGGGGCAAGTTCTGTTGGGCACTCGCTTTCCATGAGCATGTGTGTTGTGTAGGAAACACAGTACCACTGTTCACCTGTAAAACGTACAGAGACCATTTGGGGGAGAGTTTCAAAGGTACAAATGGACACGTGACTCCCTTTTACAGCTTTGCAAGTTTTCCCCTAAAGTCTCATAGACCACTTCCTTTGCCTCTGGACTCATTTTGTGCGGATAGCAAGAGGTTTGGGCCTTTATTGGTTTTGAGGTTTATTAATTTTTGCTCACTTCACTTGATTAAACACTAGAAGCATTTCTGGATACAGTTTGGATAAACAACTGTATTATCTACAACCCTTTATGGGGCTGCATTGTGCAGCAGAGTTCACAGAAATAGGACTCATCAAGGTCTCAACCTGTTTTTTTAAATTTATGCATTCAACATGGAATACGCAGAGGTGCTCTGAAAAGGACACCATTAATTAACAACAGAGCCCTTGCTGCAGGCCACTGTTGATGTGTGGGTGACAATCCCTGGAAGTTTGGAGCATTGGTAGATGCGTAGTAGTGACTCTATGCACTCACAGCATATCCTGATCACACTGATGTAAGGGCAAAACTTCCCTTTCCAAGGAGCTCCATCAGGTCCTAACTAATAAACGTGTCTCGTCATGATACTTTTAACTTTTCTCAATGCAAGAGCCTGAACTTGCAACCCCTACTCATGTGAACGGCCCCTTGGACTTCAATGGGAACATTCACAGGAGTTAAGATTACTCGCAGGAGTAAAGGCTGCAGAATTGGACCCAGAGTGTTACCTCTAAACGACATTCCAAGAGTTTGTGTGTTTGTAATTTGTCGGGGGCTCCCCACTTCCTTAGTATTCCTTGGCCCCCTTCACATAATGCCAGACAGTAGAGGAGGTAAACAGAAACTCTGATAAGAGCTCTGGGAGCTGTTTACTTACAGTACACATCCACTCGGATTGACTTTATAGCTGGGGAACCCAAACCATTCTCCGCCTTGCAGTAGTAACGGCCTCCTTGGTGTCGCTGGATATTTGTAATCCTCAGAGTTTCATTGAAGACACTCGAGTCTTGAAATCGGTCAGAGGCACTTCCTGCTGTTTTCGTCCACCTGATCTGAGCAAGCATCAGAAAAGATTGTTACTTTAGGTTGGCTGTTTCTGAAAATGAATGCAGTACAGCTGCAGAGATTGCTCTACAAAACCGAGAGCACCATGGGTCCTGTGGCTCTGAGAAATCAGAGAATACCAGGACTGGAGCCCCAGAACTAGCCTATGTTAGCAATAGCTGATAGCACTACCCGATTACTCTAGTTGGAAATACCTTATAAAGAACTGAATCCCGTTGGTGAGGGACACATGTGATGACTCAACCACCAGCAGTAACACGTCTGCTTAAATAGCTGCGGAAAAACCCTCTCTGAGCAGAATTAAGCAGAGCACATCAGGTCTAGTTCTGTGCTGATCTTTTTAATAGCTGAGGCAATTTTATATTGAATTTATTTTTTGTATTGTTCTACCTAGGTTTATATAAAAAAATATTTCAGTGTGCCATAGCACTCGTTATAATGGACACATTTTCCAAGGTTTTGAGCCCCTGCCACTCCCATTGAAGTCAAATTAATGAAAATCAGAGCACAAATTTCTATTTGGAAACATCTTAAAATATAACAGAAGCCTCCAGCTGCTCTTCGATAGCCATATCATGAACAGTGTCTCACACTTTCAGGCAGCTGTCTATACCTGGGGGTGGGGGAGGAGTTAAAATAGTTGCTTGGCTTTTTTTTAAAAAAATTGTCTGTTACAATAATTAGAACTTCTTCTACATCAATAATTATTTTCCAAAAATGTGCAAACTTTTCAAAGCGAACACTTCTGTTGAACTGCCAAACCAGTCGGAATGCCTATAACACTCTGTTACAAACAATGCAATTCTTTTAAACACAGCTGTGCTGTTTAAACAGAATCCGCTCTGGTAATGATACAGACAGTTGTTATGGTATGACTCAGTGAAAAGTTTGTACAATTGGATGAAACATGCATTGAAAATACTTGAGCTCATTGCAATGGCCGCACTTCACAGCACAAGAAAAAGGACATGTTCAGCCCAACGTTACGGGCCGTTAAACCAATTTGACACCAAGTCGCTCCACTGACTTCACAGCTACGCTTCAGTTCCAGCGGTGCCAAGGACTGCCCTAGTTATTTTGTGAACGACTTTTCCATCTCACATTCAACAACGATGCAAAGTCTCTGTTGGAATTCCAAGTCGAACGAAGCAGTTTCTTGCTAAAAAGCAGACCTCTGGCAAATGCCACTTAAAGGAAAATGGTCGCAACAGTGTTTTCTCTTGCTGAGTCTCTGGCCGTCTCCACACAGCTGTTAAAGGGACTTCTTTTTCAACTAGCAGTGAATGGCAATGGAAGAAGGGACTGGCCTTATGGACAACACATTACAGAAGTAGTGAAGTAATTACTGGTAAAATATCCTGCTTGGCATGCTTGTTAATGTGGATACAGTTCATTTGTTATATACTGGAAAAATTAAATCCTCATTCTACGAACCATTAATGATGTTGAGTAGCACACTGTTGTTGTTTTCATGCATATTACAGAACATCTAGAGAACCCAGCCAAGCTCAAGGGGCCCACTATACAAGGCATTGTACTGATACAGTGGCCTGGAAAGCTTACCAGCTGAATAGACAAGACAGATGTAGGTACAGGGAGATGAAGTCACTTGCTCAGAGAAGCACAGCAGATCAATGGCAGAGCTAGGAACAGAAACCAGTGTCCAATGGACTAGATAGTGTCTCACTGAACTACACCATTATCCATGGACTGCAGTGTCTCAACAGCACCTCTTCTGTGCCTCCTACTACAGCCCATCATGAAGTGCAGTTCACTATCCTCCCAACCTCACGCACCACAGTACAGGAACGGTAACTCTATTGGTCTCACAAAAACTCCTTGAGCATCCTTTCCTCCCCCCCCCCCCCCAGACACACACAAACACACAGAGTCCACCAGTAAGAATATGGTCCCCAATTAATATTATTCAACCAGCTCTATGCCTTCCACCATTGTGTGGTATGTGAGCATGATTGTCATCTGAAAAAAATACATGGAAACACGCGAGGACCTGCATTGACGGAACTTTGCCTGTTTATCCGCCTCCTCCAGGAGCTCTGAGCACCTTCAAAAGTGATGCCATTAAAAAAGAAACAACTGTTACCTACTTTCCCATAGGAACTTCTCCCTGAAAATTACACTGGGCCAGAAGCCACAACAGGCAACACTCAATCCTGGACCACAAACAGGTTTGAAGTCCCATATTTTCTGATCCATTAGGACCCAAAATGGGAGCTTTATATCCATTTTTCTCCACCCCCCACCCACCCCCCGAAGGGCTGTAGGCTTGGACTCCAGAAGCTGGAGTTACAGACAGAAGAATAAAATTTTGAAAGTTCCCCAAAACATTTTGAGTCTCTTTTATAAAATACACAGGAATATTCACAATATATGATGGAGTAGCTTGCAGGTGGGCATTACACTCTTTGCAGCTGACCTGCATAATTCAAACATAGCTGCACCATGCAGGAATAAGCAAATATCCAAAACTCTCCATCTACATTATTCTGTCTTTGTGTGAGAGAAACACCATTACCACATCTATATTTACAAATATTAATATGTTTGCATTTCTACTGTAAAGCCCCAGCTTTGGGGCATTTTAAGTCATCTATAAAAATGTGCTTCTGGCTAATTTTGGTGTACAGAGTGTGCAGAAGGTTGCTGTCAAACTTTAATTATTTTTTTTTAATTTAAAAATAAACACTGGCTTAGTGTTAAGGTTACACAAAAAGGAGAAGATAGTCACTCAATCTCCTGCATGCTTTATTATTATTACTGTTATTGTTTGAACCCAAAATTGCCAGGCTGTTGTTGATTTAAATTAATTGTTTTATTTTTTTTCTTACATTTTAAAAGTAAAATAGAAAAATGGATCGAACAAATAGACTTTTGATCTTTAAGGGGAAATATTTTTTCTTGAAAAATTCAAAAAGTTGGAATTTACTATGTCAAAAGAATCCATCTCAGAATATTTTTTAAAATCACTCACTATTGTTACATCTATCTAATCTTAGAAATAACATAGCCCAGTCTGTCCCATTGGTACAGTCATACCCTCAGCTACAGCTGAATAAATGAACCAAAGATTCCTTTATCCAATCCATCCTCTGACCTCCAAGACCATTTCACAGAGGTCTGACTTTAAATGGCCAGCATTAGCTCCTAAAGTGGATTTTCAGCTTTATCAGGATTCCTCACTTTTGTGGGGTTAATATTAACAGTATGAAGTAATTTTGGAGCTGACCTCCACTTAGCAAGGAGAATGGTCTTCCAAAGACAAAAAGGTGTAAAATGACGAACCAGGTTCTCTCTCTTTCAAGTGAGAGTGGCTCTGGAAAAAAAATACCATGTTTACATTGCAGTTGATTTAATCTGAATTCATTATTCACGTTGGCTTTAACTCAATGCAAATACGACAAGGATCTGATTCCAATCAATATAATATTGTTATTTATTGAGCGCCAACACTGCAAAAATATGACTAATGCACTAATCAAAGCAAATGAATACAGTAAAATAAGATGACTGAGCCTAGAGGTCTTACTCAAGCATAACTCCCCTTCAAGATAGACCTATGCTTTTTCGGTTCACTGGACAAATTGAAAAAAAATAAAACTTGTTTCAGCTCAAACTAAACATTTATGGGTCAAACGAAACACTTTGGTTGCCTTCATTGACTTTGAGAATAATTTTTGAACTTTCTTGGTTGACCCAAATCTGCATTTTTTTGGCAAAAAAAGTTTCATTTGAAAAATTTGGCCCAGCTCTAATGATAGTCGTTTAGGGGCTGTTGTACTGGGCCTGGTACAGTCAGTGGGTGACGTGCGGAATGTCATTAAAGTTCTTGCCCAATATCCATTGAATGAAAGCCCTTTCATTTATTTCAGTGGGCACTGTATCAGGCTCTAAATACCATGTGAGAAAGCTACCTGCCCTCACCATTCCATATACCATTCCCATGGTATCTGAGCCCTCACAATTGTTAATGCCTTTCTCTTCTCAGCTGTGAGGTGGGGTGGTGCTTTTATCTCTCTACCTGAGCAACTGAGGTGTAGCAAGACTAAACAGCTCCCCCAGGGGCACAAAGGAGGTCTGTAGAGGATCAGGGAATTAACCCATAACCCCCAAGTCCCAGGCTAGCACTGATCATGCCTATTCAAGTGTTCAGACAGTTCCTGGGTTGAAAATTTCCAGCCAATTGCTTTTATTGCTTCATGGACATTTGCATGGTTCAGAAATCCAAAATTTTCCACAAATTTTAGCCTACTTGATTATTCATCCAAAACCACCCTGTGAATGCTTCTTATTCAGAATTTGTTTGAAAATTTCCATTGTCCCAGTATTGGAGCAGAATTGTGTGACCAGTCACATAGCATGAACGAACAAATATTCAAAGAAAACAGCTTGCAAACAACTAACAGGCTAAAACTATTCTTTTCATAATGTGGCTTTTTATTGACGTCACATCCATACATCATGGCTTATACAAATCAGACTAATAATACATGTTAATACATAACACACATGCATTCACCTGCTGCATTGATCTTGGCCTAGTAGGGTGAAATTTTCAAAACTGCTCAGAGCTGGCTGCTCATGTCACTTTTCAATATCCTACATTTTTGTTTTCACAAGATTCTGCTGTTTATTTGTCATTCAAAATGCCAATAAAAATGTCACTGTGAATGCTTATTACTAAGTAGGGCATTAGCAGAAATTAGGGCTGGCTTATGAATGATTCACTTTTAAAGGTAGATAAATTCATAAGTTTGTATTCATAATTCAAATATTCATAATATTTGTAATGGACAGTTCAACTAACTCTGCGTGGACCAAGCCATTGAGCCATCAAGACCCTTGCTAGTATTTTAACGGTTTGAGCAGATACTGCAAGAAGTTCACAGTTATGATCCAGTGTATGGTTTCTGCCTTCATAGTAAATTGCTTTTCCGCTTTAACTAGGATTCCTTGAAATGCAGGTTCT